TGCTCCTAGAAAAATAACTTCAAAGTACCCTGAAACTTTAGGGAAGAATGCAAGCATGTAGTTCTCACCAACTCCTTTTCCAAAACATTTAAGTCGCAATACTAAGCAAAATAAATTCCTTTCACAAATTTAGATATTTCCCAAGCTGTCCCCTTTAAGGCATGGGAAGATGAAGAGATCCTCAAGAAAACAAGCCAGCAGTCATTGTACTACATGCAGCTATATGGAAGGGGAAGGAAACATGGCTTTATGAAGCATTTGTGAGGCACTCTGCTAAGTTCTTTACAAACAGTTTTTCACTTTTCTCTCACAGCAACCCTGGGTTTTGTTCAGTCATTTTTCTGTCTCGTATGACTCTTCGTGACCTCATTTGGGGGGTTTTCTTGGCAAACTGGAGTGGTTTGCCATTTCCTTCTCCAGCTCAGTTTACAGATGACGAAATTGAGACAGGCAGAGGTGACTTCTCCAGGGTCACATAGCTAGTAAGTGTCTGAGGCCAGATTTGAAATAACTAAAAGCTTTGCTTAATTCAACAAATATAAAGAATGTCCCTATTCTATGTCTTTGCAATTCACAGAAGTTACTTTACCTGCTGTGGATCAAGTTAGTCAGCTTTTTAAGGGTTAATTGCCTACGTGGTTCTATTCTCTATGGGCAAAGTAGAAAGGGCATAGGAAATTAAACTACTATTAGAGTCTCTACCAGATGTCTTCCCTTATTTTGTTCAAGCTCTTTCTTGCCATATAGGGTCCAAGTATACTGTGGGGAAATTTCTCAGTTCTCTGGCTTCCTACCCATGCAGATAATATTAGAATTTTAGTATCCAACACCCTTGGGAATAGGAGAGGGCTGTATTTACCTATTCCCCTTACAAGCACAATGGCTCACAAGGTTCAAACATGAACATGTTTATTTAGAGGTTACAGGAAAGAAATGGGAATAATATTGGAAACCCAGTAAAATAACAGTACCTACCAGCACACATCCCTTTTCTTCACTCAGCCCTTCATTTACAGTACTAATTTGAATGGGATTCTAGAACGTAGATGTTGCTTCTCCACATCAGTGCTACCCCTGGCTTTCTATGTGCACTACTTTTCCTGCAATGCTCAACTCAATTTGTTTTCAGCAAACATGCCCATAACAAACCTCCTTTACCATCATGCTTGGCTGCTCATGCTTCTGGCAGCTTTTCTGAGCTCCAAGCAGTTGACGCATGGTCTCTGTCAACCTTGAATGTTCCTTTTCATTGTCCCTTCTCTACCGTGATTCTTGTAGGTACAGTCTCTACAATCTTCTTTAGCTTCCAGAAGCTGGCCATTATTACCCAAGAACCAGCTCACTTCCATAGTCTTTGTCAGGCTGTGTTACCTCTCAAAACTCAGCTCTATTTTTTTGTCTTTTCTTACACTGTGATTCCCTTAGTCCTTGGTCTTATACAAATGTGGTTTCCCAGGTAATAATGGAAAAGGGCATAGGAAATTAAATATGATTACAATCTACCAGATATCTTCTTTTACTTTGCTCAGGCTCTCTCTTGCCATATTGAGCTTAAGGATGTAGTGGGGAATTTCTCAAGAGAGGACATTCTTAACCTTTTTTGTGCTGTGAATCCCTTTGGCAATCTGAGGAAACCTTTGGACCCCTTTTCAGAATATTTTACTTAAGTGCATAAAATAAAATGCATAGGCTTACAAAGGGAACCAATTGTGTGTGTGTGTGTGTATGTGTGTGTGTGTGTGTGTGTGTGTGTGTGTGTGTGTGTATGTGTGTATGTAATTCATGGATACTAAGCTAAGAAGTCATGTAATACACTTGAGCATATAAAGGCAAATAGTCTCATGTTTCTTCAGTGAAATATAAAACAAGGTTTTTAGTTGAGAATGTAGAGGGAGAGGAGACCACAGAAGGTTTAAGCAATGAAAAATTGGAAAAACCACTGAGGAGGGGATAAGGAATTAATGTGTTGTTATTGTTGTTGAGTAGTATTAGTTGTGTCTGACTCTTTATGACCCCATTTTGGGTTTTCTTGGCAAAGATACTGGAGTGGTTTGCCATCTTCTTCTCCAGCTCATTTTACAGATGAGGAAAGTGAGGCAAACCAGGTTAAGTGACTTGCCCAGAGTCACACAGCTAGTAAGTGTGTGAGGCCAGGTTTGAAGGAATTAATTAGGGAGATCTGAAAGAATTAACTTGCCACAGTGAGGGCCCAGTTGAGATTATTAAGTATAAATTTGTTCTGGACCCAGGCAGCATGGTTTCATGGTTTTCATTTAGCAGCATTTGAGTAGTAGTGAAGACAGAAGAAGGTGGGAGTAATCCAAGGTTGAAGCTTGGCAGGACAAAATTTTGAGAGGATATGAGAAAAGGGACTGCACAGTTATAGGAGGGAAGAAAAGGTGCCTAGAGTTTGATGGAATGGGGCTCCATCCCCATTACTTAGAGTTGTAGGGTTTTAAAAAAACCATCCAAGCTGCTTCTGCATTCAAGAAACTTCTAAAAATTAGAGGTTCTTTTTAAAATTGTGGGGTAGGCTCCTACCTACCTTTTCAAAAGCTACATTACTGCCCATGCATTCTCCATCACCAGCTCTTCTGAGGAAACGCTTTTCCTGTCTCCGTCTTCCAGGCACTTTTGCTACAGTCACATTTTACCGTATCTTTTCCCTCACAGTAGAAAGGTAGTTTATAATAAGGAGCTGGGAAGTAAGTACATTTCACTGCGCCTCTCCCGTATTGTATTCATTAATGCAGCTGACAATCTAGAGAAGGTTTTACTGCACCAACCAATATTTAAAGTCCTTGTTCAGTACTGTTTTCATTCCTCTTTCCAGATTCTCAAATAAGAGCAAGTAATTATTCCCAAGAAGGAATTGCTCGTAAAACATTGGTCAGTTGTGAGACATGCTAAAGATTTTTTAAATGCCCACAGTGATAAAAGTTTTATTTAATCCCTTAATGCAAAAAAAAAAAAGGATAGAACAACTTTGTCCAAATCCTATCCTCCCTCCAACATTTTCCCCTGGCTCTGGCTGTTAGAACAAGTTTTAGTTTTAAATGTAACTTTTTCTAAAACATAAGATCAGGAGGAAAGAAGGCATCATTACGCCAACACTATTATTACATTAACTGTGGCCTCTGCTTCAGAGAAATCTTCTGGTATCTCATGTGAGATTTTTTACATATTTTATTGATGATCAAGTTTCATTTTTACATCAATACCTGTGTGAAATGCCTGAAGTACAAAATAGGTAGACACTTTTATTTCTTTTTGGAGAGTAAAAAGAATGGCCTTTTCATTCACACTCTGAAATGGGTTTAGTTCTTGGTTTCTCAGTGAATACCCCATTCATCCCCTTGTTCCATAGGCGACAACATGTTTACCTTCTAAATAAATCAGCTGAATTGTAATCCATGAAGAGTCTTTGGCAAATGGAAAGGAAGAGTAAAAAAACTGGGGATGAAAGAGAGGGACTAGTGCAATTAACAAGGACATCCTTATTCCTTTAGGAAAGGAAGGAAGGAAGAGGAAGAAAGGAAATGGAAGGAAAGAAAAAGAAAGAAGGAATGAAAAGGGAGGAAAGAAGGGGAAGAACAGAAGGAGAAAGGAGAAAAATAAGAGGGAGGGAGGAAGGAGAAGAAAGGAAGGAAGGAAATGGAAGGGAAGAAAAAAGGAAGGAATGAAAAGGGAGGAAAGAAGGAGAAGGAAGGAGAAAGAAGGAAATGGATGGAACAGGAAGGAAGGAATGAAAGAAAGAAGGAAGGAGGGAAGGAAAGAAGGAAGGAGAAAGAAAAAGGAAAGAAAGAAAAGACAAGAAAGAAACAAGTAAGGAAAAAAAAAAACCAGAAACAAATCTGATCTGCTGTTACTGTTTCTTTCTTTCCGTGAAAAAAGTATCATCTCAACAGAAGCCAAGTTGGGCAACAGTTAATGACAGAATTTGCTTTAACCAGGTGCTATGATTCTGTAGACTGCACTGGATATGCCAGGTGCCTGAAAACTAGATTGTCTCATCATGGTTATTGATAAAATTATAAGAGGGTAGCTCCCAGAAGCTTAGATGGCCTTCAGGAGATAGCCTACTAGACTGGTTCCTTTGAGTCCTTCCATCTAGCCCCAATCTTCACTGCTGTGGGCTGCTATTAAGGACTTTGCATAATAAAATAAAGGAAAGTGGAACCTCATCAATGGGCCCAAACTGGAAAGCAGACTTGTTGGTTTAATTAGTGAAAAGTCTAAGGTATAGTGTGTTTTTAAAAGATATGCTATTTTGTTCATTTTAAGTCAAAAATATAATTCATATTAAGCTAAGCATTACCAAATAAAGGGTTTGGGGAAATGTTCTAATGAGTTTAAAACATTGATTTAAAAAAGCATTTGAGTTATTTGAATGTAAATGCAAAGTTGCTAAAGCCCTTAAAGTTTCAGCACTGAAAGGAGTTAAATATTGTCTTTGCAATCTTTATACCACAATCTTTTTCTTTGAGAAATCCCCTATGTTCATAGTACTGATGAAAATTTCAACCTGTCTTCAATTTATTTTTTAAAAAATCAATTTATTGGGGCAGCGAGGTGGTGCAGTGGATAGAGCACCAGTCCAAAAGCTTGACGCGTACTAGCTATGTGACCCTGGGCAAGTCGCTTAATCCCAATTGCCTAAAAATCAAACAAAAAATTAATTTATTAAAGTGTGAATTACTAGCTGTGTGATACCGGGCAAGTCACTTAACCCCAACTGCCTCACCAAAAAGCAAAACAAAAACAAAAAATAAAACAAAAAAAGTATGAATTAATGAGTTTTATTTTATATTTATTTCAAAGCTGAAGTGTTAAGACAGATAACATGTTATCCAATAAATCAGGATTATTATTTATCCTGCTTCATTATATATGCCATTATACTATATGCCTTTCAAAATGAATATTATCAGACTAATGTATGTGACTTCCCTTTCCCTTAATATTATGTGAACTAATGTTTTTTTTCTTTTATTTTATAGGAAAATATACCTGGAAGAGTAAGTACTTTTGATATTTTTAATTATCTAGTCTTACAGGAAAATATATTAATAAATTTTGCAAGGTTATCATTTTTATTTTCTGAATTTATACATATTAGAAGTCATAGCATTGTTTTCATAAATAAGTATGGATTCCTATTTTCCTGGATATCATTGGTATATGATCTCCACTGTCATTTAGTTTCTATTTTTGCCTGAAATGAAGTGCCTTACCATGTTAAAAAATTATTACTTATTTCAAAATTAATGTAGCCAATTTATAATATTAAATTTATATTTATAATATTTAAAATATAAATGTATACCACTTTGTTATAAATAATAAAGGCTGTTAGTGATATAGCAGATACAGTGCTGGACTTAGAGCCAGTAAAATATGGGTCCAAATTCTGCTTCAGCCACTTACTAGCTGTATAACCCTGGGCAGGTCACTTAACCTCTCCTAGCCTCAGTTTCTTCATTTCTAAAATGAGGATAAATAATAGCACTTATGTCCTAGGGTTATTATGAGAACCAGATGAAATAATACCTGGAAAATACTTTTTAAATCTTAAAGGGTTATATGAATGTAAGCTACTATTTTTTGAATTTTCCTATTCTCTGAAGAGCTTAATCACAAGTTTACAATTCCTGAGATTACTCTTTGCTCACTTTGTAAAGATTTAGGGATCTTTCATGTTCAAAAACATACCTTCCAAAAAATAATATTAGTCTTAGAAATCTCCAGGCAGTGGTACAGTGTTCTGGAAGACTTTCTAATGCCAGGCATGGGAGAAACAATTCCCTATGAGCTACCTTAATTATCAGCTTTTCTATGTCTTCAGTTGGATATGGCTCATGACAGTGGCAAAAATTAAGGCTAACACTGGAACACAATGTCAATGTGAAAAAGGCAGCCCTGGTACCTTACACAAAGACACACACTTAGCTTTCTCTTGACAGAAAAAGACACTGAAAGGATGAATATGACAAAATCTGTCTTAAACATTGTTTGACTGATCATTTTCAGGCCTTTAATGAGTTGGGTTAACAGAGTTATTGACATCTGAAGTGGGAATTCTAACCCCTGGGTCAAATTTTTGTTGTTAGTACTATTTTTTAATACCTGAGGTTTCCTTTATTTCCTTTAGGGGGTATGATATTTTAAAATAGGCAGATAGATGGCTAGGTTTGGAGTCAGGCAGACCTGAATTCAAATTCTGCCTTAGATACTTTACCAGCTGTGTGACTGTGGGCAAGTCACGAAGTAGACATTTAATAAATGTCTATTGAATGATTGAGGGATTCCATCAAGTTCTAAATCTGTGCTCTTAGGTGACTTGTCCATAGCCACATTAGCAGAGCCTGAATTTTAACCCAAGTCCTCTGATGCCAAAGGGAAGCTAAGTGGCACAGTGGACAGAGTACCAGGCCTGCAGTCAGGAAGACTTACCTTTGTGAGGTCAGGTGGCACACGGGATAGAGTACTGGAGTCAAAGGGAGATCTGAATTGAAATCTGGCTTCAGACACTTACTAGCTGTGTCCCTGGGCAAGCAGTTTAAAACTTTTGTATGCCTCAGTTTCATTATCTGTCAAATGGAAATAAAATTAGCACCACTTTTTGCTGTGAAGATCCAATAAGATAATATTTGTATAGTGCTTTACAAACCTAAAAGTAAAAATGCTTATTGTTGTTGTTATTGTTATTATAATGTGTGAGAAGTGCTAAAAGTTCATGACTTGAAGCTTGAGGACACCTAGGTTCCACTTCAGACTCTTACTTGCTATGGGACCACAGGTAACTCTTTGGGCCTCAGTTTCCTTATTTATAAAATAGGGATAATAATTCTCATAGTACCTATCAAATGAGGAAGGAGATAATAAATGCAAGATGCTTTGCAAATCTTATATATAATCCCATTTTTAAAAGTGCAGGATCATAGGACAATATTTAAAAACCAAGATGTCAGCATGGGTCAGAAATTAAAAGCTGGGAGGACAAAACTCTCCTTCAACCAAATGATTTCTTCCTTTCGCATCCCTGATTGTTCTTCCTACAGCCTGCCTTCACCCTTCTCTCCACACTTCACAAATATAGCACCACTCTAGGCTGTTTATCTCAGGAGCAAAGCAGATCTGAACAAATACAAGCAGTGTGAAATAATCAACAGTGGAATTTCAGGTTTTGTAAGTGGCTTCAGGGTCTATACAGAATTATAGAATTCTAGAATTGGAAGAGACTTCAGTGGCCATGTGCTCTTACTCATGTCCCCCAAAAGTATTCCCCATATAATATACCCAGCAAGTGGTCATCCAATTTCTGCTTGAAGACCTCCAGTGAAGGGGAACCCACCAGTTCAGCTTTCCAATAGCTCTAATCCACAGCAAATTTCCTCCCCTGATATCAAGCCTCAATTAGCCTCTTTCCAACTTCCACTCCTAGCTCCGAGTTCTGCCCTCTGCAATCAAATAGAAAAAGTCCAGTTCCTCTTCCATGTGACAACCCTTCAAATACTTTTCTGTGCCCCCTAATTCTCTCTTTCTCTGCTAAACAGCCCTACTTCCTTCAGCAGATCTTCATAAGAAGTCCTTCACCATCCCAGCGCAAGTCCACTTCCCTGGACACCTTCCAACTTAACAACACCATTCCTAAATGGAACGCAATACTCCTCATATGTACTGACCAGGGCAGAGTGCAGTGGGATTATCAACTCTTTGCTCCTGGGAATTATACCTCTCAATGAAGCCTAAAATAACATCATCTCTTTTTGGCTGTTATACTCCCAATACGTACTAATGCCATGCTTAGAGGGTGACTTGAATCTCAGATCTTTAGAAGACAAATTGCTTTTTAACCATATTTCTTCCATTTTGGGCTTGTGAAGTTAATTTTTTGAACCAAAGTATAAGGTTCCTTTTACATTTCATCTTATTAGATTCACCCTAATCAGTGGTGTGCTAGAGCCAGCTCATACTGGCTCTCAGCAGTTAATTATTAAATTTTCAGGAATTTTGCAAGCCAGTTATTAAGCATAGCAGGACACAGTTTAATCATTTCCTTCACTGGTAATATTATTGCTTTAAAAGAATTTTTTTTTCAACCACAGCACTGCATTTTCAATATGTTGCCTACTTTAAAGAATTGTGGCTTTAATAAAGAATATGAAAAGCAAAATTAATTGCATTTTGTTCTGATGATGCTAATGCAATGCTGGGAAGAAAGTCTAGAGTAGCTATGAAGGTGTAAAAAAATTTGTTAGAAAAATCTAAAATCACAGTTAGCACCATTTAAATGATTGATTATGATTATCACTTAATGATTCAATATCAGAAATAAAACAAATTAATTATTTTAAAGTATTTCTAGATAGAGTGTATTCTCTTTAACATGAATCTAATAAAAATCAAACCAAGTAAGAGATTGTAGCTAAAGAACATGAAGATGAAATGACTAAAATTGGTTGAGTACTAGAACAAAGATGGGTAGCATATAGTTTATGAGCTGCTACAGCTATGTGACACATATATCCTGTATTACATACACATTTTTCTCATTCTTCCTATTCTAGTCTCGCAAAGAGATTAGCTAACATTAATTTCTTGCAAGACCTTGCTTTAAAGATTGACATTCTTGAAGAATTTTCATTACTTTCAACTGCATTGCAGTCAAGATCTACTAACGTTCAGAAAGAGCAAAAATTAATCAAACTCACCATAAGAGCTTCGGAAAATTTAAAGATTAGTACTGGAAAGCATGAATCTCAAGTTGAAGATTTGATTAAGTCAGATAAGTTTAAACATATTGCATTTATTGAAAATAATAAATATAATGCTCTGCCTAGGAATATGTTGCTAGAAAATTTAATTCAACACATGAACTTATATCTTTTATTGTATAGAAACAAGGATGAGAGCATTTTTAATAATCTTGAGTTATTAGAACTATCTTCTTGGCCCTATAAAGAACTAACTTCACCATGGGTAGCTGGTGGAAAAAAATGCATTATTTAAGTGAAATTTTAAAACAAGAAATTGATTTGAGCAATTTTCAGGATTTTGTAGATAATAATATACAGTTAAATAATGTTCCAATCCCCTGCAACTATTCAAAAAGCTAAAAAAGATAGCACTATTGCTGAGTTTTCAGTATGACAAATATAATTTTCATGAGGCTAAGAAATAATTTAACATTAGATCACATATCAAATTTAATGATAATCAGTTTATTGGGAAAAGAGTTGGAGGATTGGGCTGCAACTCCATTTATCAAATCATGGTTGAATTGCAACCATAGGTTGGCTATTGGCTACAAGAGTTCAACAAAAATCAACAAAAACATTCTATGAGAATCAATTGGCTATATGGAATTTATAGTAAAGAATATTGCATATTTTATTATTATTTGTATGTTGTGGGTTACACATCCTTTATGTCAGTAATTTAAACAAACTTACGTACACATATGCATCTATATATATAGATGCACACATTTTTTGGGGGGGCAGAGAGTTGGTTATTAAATATCATTTCTGGGCCCAATGCTCTATTCCCAGGGATTCTTACCATTATTTGTGTCATGGATCCCTCTGGCAGTCTGGTAAAGGCTATGAAGGTTGAGGGGGGAGGGGAGGGAAGCTGATGTGGTAAGCAACAAGCTTGTATGTACCTCTTCTATACCCTAAGAATTGAAAGAGGATTAAAGAACTTTCAGTGTGTATCTATATGAGAAATCCTGGCTTCATTTCCTAGGCATTATTTTTCTCCTTTACTCTACTCCTTTGTCAGCAGCACACATGCTGCTATATTGCCTCTTGTTCATCTATGAAAAGGGTGAATGAAAAATGCCAGGCACTGTGTGTCTGTGAGGCTCTTTAGCAGCTGAGGCTCTTCAGTGCAGCAACCAGGGGCACATTTGACAAACATAGAAGCAAAAAGGTCTTTCCTAAAGTCCCTCACAGATGATAATGGACGTTTTTCTCCCTTTTAGAACAGATGAGGAAAGAGTTCTAGAAATGTT